GTGTATTTGGTTATGTCTTTATGTAGCATTCAGGCTCTGAATATTATTATTTAGGAGACCTTCCAACCAGGCTATAGAAAATTTTTTTGTATTTTCTTCCAGCACTTTTATAATTTAGTGTCCTCTTGTTAATCTTAAAATCCAAATGACATTTAGTTCTGGGTAGTGGAGGGCCTTGCAGTCCCCCTGAGTTTCCTCAGGGGGCAGGCAGTGGCCCAGCACCGTTCAGGGGGCTGAAGTGACCTCGTGTCCCTCGTGTGCAAGGACCTCAGCGCTCTCTGCTGGCGGACGTTAACTTTAGGGCGGGGCTCTGGCAATGGACCGCAGCACCTCTGAGGGGCGCCTGCCACAGAGAGTCCAGAGTCAGCTTCAAATAAATAGCATGTTATGAAGTTACCATTTCAAGCCAGAGCGGGCAAGATAGGCTGTGAGCAACTGCCGGCGAGCGACGGGGCCGTCGGGCCTGCAGTGCGGCTGCACACCTGCCGCGGCGCTGGAGGGCGACTACGAAACGGGCCCAGCATTCTCGAGACACAGGCAGCGCGCCAGCGCCAGACCCCGCTCCGGGGCAGTCATCCGACAGCCTGCAGTGCGGACGCCAGAAGAGAAGTTAAAAAGTACTGCTTTCCAGAAGATTCTAGAAGCAAAGTCAAAGGAAAAGTAGGAAACTGAGGGGAAAAGTTACAGCTTTGTCCTAGACAGAGTCCGTCTCCTCACCGTAGAAGAGGGTGACTGACGACCCTTATATGGGTCGTGGAGGACTCTGAACAGAGGACCACGAGGACGATGTGCAGAGAGCACGCAGGAGGTACACAGGACACGCCTGCATTTGACACGATGCTCATCGAGACTCCAGGGAGCTGCCGTTCCTCAACCAGCACGTTGGCGAGACTTGGGGAGCTGGGGCACAACGCCACCTTGGCCGGGACACGCAGGGACAGGCTCTCCCGGGCGTTGCCGGGGGCAGCGTGAATTGCTGCAGCCCCTCTGGAGGGTGGTTTGGCCGAATTCACTGAAGTTACAAAGGCACATGCCCACCGACACACGCAGCACTTCCACTTGGCGTCCAGAGAAATGGGAGACGTTGAGCACTTGTTCACCAATACTTTGCTCACACTCGCAGATGACCGGAAGCAACCCGAGAGCCCATCCAGAGGGGGTCAGTGAAGCAGAGCAGGCTGTGCCCCGGCCGTGAAGGGCGGCCTGGTGACCGAACAGGAGGAGGAGGCGGTGGGAGAGAGGGCGGAGGCGTCAGGACGCCCTGTGCGCTGCCACGGAAGGACCCCCACACCGGGTGGCCAGGCGGTAAAAGCCGGGTGCTGACGTGTTATGCTAACAGATTTATGCACAGACGGGGAGAAAAATATGCAGCTCGTGTTTTGCTTGAAAAGGTCGATTTTTCTTGTCTCAAAGATTGGTAAGGAGTTACGAATGGTACCTCCCTGGCTCGTGGGGGTGACCCGGCGGCATGGGCGGTGTGGGGGCTGGGGCGGAGATGGACTGCATCCGTTGCTGGGCTTGGTGTTTGTTCACTCAACAACATCAGTGGCACTTTTTTAAAACAACCCACAGAAGCTACTTCAGAAGAGGAAAATGACAGTAGGGTTTTTTTAAGCTCCCTTCTCCTTAGGTTAAATAACATCTATTTAATTTATATTCTTTGTACTAGTAGGCAGTACGGGTACAGTCCTGACAAGTACTTTTATGGAGTCTAGAAGTACTGTGGTTTTATATTTATTATTTTAAAATACATGCCCTTGAACAGGATAAAATACTCCCTTTAACATTTTAAAGAAACCCTAAAACTGGTCAGCTCCCATCTGGAGTCCTTCCGCTAATTTCCCTGCCTCTGCTAGAGAGTTAGGTGGAGAGAGAGAGAGAAAGCTGCCTCAAGATTTTCAACAAGGTACATTCCGAATTCAGTTTGAATCTCCTCCTGACCTGGAGTGCCTTGTGCCCTGACACAGCGCGTGCAGGTCGCAGTCCCCCCGGCCGCGCCGTGGCGCTGGGGTGTCTGCCTTCCCGTGGAGCAGAGCCTGGTCCTGGCGAGGGGCTCCTGGTTCCCTGTCCTTGTTCCGCACTCTCCTGACCCCTGTTGCTTCATAGTGCGCTTTGAAATCAGAGTGATGCCTCCAGCTTGGTCTTGGTTTGGGCTCCGCGGGTCCCACACACTCCGGCTGCCAGGGGAGTCCAGGGCGGCCGGGGCAGTGCTGCGGTCTTGGGAGGACCGAGTCCCCCAGCCGACGTAGATGGGGCCGAGTCCGCTCCCACCAGAGACGTGGTCAGCCACCGCTCCTCCCAACTGCGTGCCCGGTGGGCCTGGCTGCCGCCGCCACTGCCAGGGGCTCTGTTGTGGACATGACCCTGCTTGACCCCCTCTCCCGGTCCCCTGCGCCCTCCCACCGTGTCCTCCGTGAGCCCACTTCCTCTGGGCCGTTCCATTCACCACTCAGAGGTTCCATGTTTGGGGAGAGTCCTCTTTGGGCTGAATGTCGTTCAGAGTTTGTTAGTGGAAGGAGACCAGTCTATCTGTTATTCACTGAGTCCTGCGACATCACTACATGTTGTAACTGAATGTGGCCCGGTGCAGGGATTTTCCGGTGCGGGGACTGAGGCCCCTGCTTGTCGTGGTCTGGTGAGAGTATCTGCAGCTGTTGCTTTCCCAGCTGGAACTGGGGTAGTTTGGTTTTCACGGCCAGAGCCGCTCCCTGCGTCCCAGTGTTTTTCAGTCAGGTTTCTGCTTCTCGACATCAGGGCGGGGGGCGGGGGGGGGTGCGGCTGGGTTCTGAGAGCACGCACACGCTCTGTTGTGTGCGAAACACAGGGACTGCGCGCCCCCTGCTCCGCAGCAGCGGAAGCAGGGGGTGACATGTGTCACCCATGTCCCTCCTTGTTTGCACGCATGTTAGTGTTGCTGGCATGTGTGTGAAATAGTTATAAACACATGTACACATGTGCCAAATTAAACATATATGCAGTACATGTGTAGCATGAGTGAAAATGCATGTGTGTATATTTGTAAGCATGTATGTACAAAGTGGTCCTTAATGAAATACCAAGTGGTCCTTTTGAAATACCAAGTTCCACTCCACTTTTCTTGTTTTCGTCTGTTTTTACGTGAAAAGGACCCTCACTTTTTCAGTCCTCCCTGCCCTTTTTACTCACTTTAGTCCTAGTCCCCTGATGGTTAGATGTCACATGCTGGCTCGGTGGTGAGAAATGACGGTGTGTTTCTGTCCAGGGGACACCCTCCTCAGAAACAAAACCCTGTTTTCAAAGTCCTGGCCCCTTCTTTCACTGGCAATTCTGACTCATGGCTCACGCTGTCCCCCATGAGGTCTGTCCCCCCTGCAGGGTGGGTGCGTGCGAGCAGTGTTACTGTCCCCACTGGGTCTGCCGCTGTTTCGGGTGGCTCTCCGCTCCTGGCTTTCCCACGAGGAGACAATGGCGGAGACGCCTGAGAACAGCAGTTCTGAAGGCCTGGCCCCGTGGTGGGGCTGCTACAGGACGCAGGGTCTGCAGGGTTGGTGGCTTTGGAGCAGTGCTCCCAGCGAGGTGGGGACAGTGGGCCACGGTCCCCCTCCGGTCACTGTCACTAAAGTGGCCATGGGTTGCCTCTGCCTTCTAATAGTTTCCTGTTACTTCTGCCAACGTGGTGCAGAGCTATTCTTCCCAGGGCATATGTGTGTGTAGGAGACCCCTCCACCCCACCATGTGCTAGAATGTTCTGTGGAGTTCTAATGAACTCTGAGCCTGGCGCCCTGTGCTGAGATGAGACTTCTGTGTACTCGCCTTGCCACCAGCAAACCAACAGCCTATTTCCTGGGTCTCTGGGTCTCTGCTGTTCTCTACTGCCCTAGCGTGTGAGTGGCAGCAATGCTACTACACAGCGTCGGGTGCGGCCGTGTCCCCAGGGCACCCTCTCTCTGAGGGCACACACTCTGGAGCCCGGGTGCTCAGGCCAGCGCCGCCTGCAGGAGGAGTGAGGGGCGGGCGCACCCGCAAAGCGCCTCTGCAGAGCATTGCCTGACGCAGGGGCCTGGAGGTGGGGCCTCGTCACTAACCCCTGGGGCTTCTCTTCAGACTCGCCCTGCAGAGTCTTGCTCTGCAGCAGGACCTTCGGGAAACACAGAGGGTGTGGCGGTCGGTTTTCTTTGGCCTTCTCAGTGCCGACTCTGCCCTGCAGGCGCCGGACGCGGCCAGATGGTTCTGTTTCTTTCTGGCGAAGCTGCCACCCCACCTGCTCCAATCTGTACGGGACGCTCTTCCTTCCTCTGCTCCCTGCGGCAGGGACGGTGGGGAAGGAAGCCCCCAGGTCCACCAGGTCCCAGCGCAGGGTCCCAGGTGCAGACAGAGCCATGTGCCTCTCGGGCAGGCCCCTGCCCCCTTGCTGGTCACCTCAGGCCGTGGGCCGGATCTGCAGCCATGGACGGAGAGGAGCCCCCACCCGTTCCCAGGGCAGCTTGGCAGACATTGGCAGACAGGCGTGACGTCCAGCCCATCCCTGGGAAAAGCCCGCACCAGTACAGAAAGCTCACTGCCACTTCACCTGTCTCCCTGGCATGGGCTTGGGGGGGCGGGGCGTTCTGTCTTTAAACTGCTTTAGAGTCTGACTTAGAGGCAGCCCCCGACAGAAGTTTGTTCCCTGGGTGCTGCTGGTTCTTGGGGCGACAGGGCTGTCCTTAATTCAGTCCTCAGTGTGCCAAGTGTGTGCTCGGGCAGAGGACGCCCTTCACTGCTCAGTGGTGCCAGAGTAATTGGGCACTGACATTGTAGGGCCGGGGACCTTGTATTGCTGGTTCTGCTTGGAACCAAACCGCGGAGGCGGAAGGCCCATCGGGGGTTAGCCCCAGGGCCAGGCCCAGCCTCCTGAGGGCCGTGCGTCCCGCAGGTCATCACAGCACAGCAGCGTACAGCCAGGGCCTGCGTGTCCGCCAGCACCGCTGCCTGTGGCCCACTGCTCCTGACCGGCCCCCCGCCCTCCCCTCCTCTCTCGGCAGGTCGAACTGTGCCGAGAACATCCGCAAGCACATCCTGCACACCGGCAAGCACGAGGGCGTCAAGATGTACAACTGCCCCAAGTGCGACTACGGCACCAACGTCCCCGTGGAGTTCCGGAACCACCTGAAGGAGCAGCACCCCGACATCGAGAACCCCGACCTGGCTTACCTGCACGCAGGTAAGGCACAGAAGCTCTAGTGCATGTGGCGTTGATGTGCGTGCCATGTGGTTCCTCACAGTACATTACTGTCGTGTAATGTCGAGTCCGTGACAGGTACCCACTCCCGGGCTTCTCCCACTCAGCTGGGAAACCATCTTTTCAGTGACATTCTGTCGAGAGTAAATGTGACGGCTCCTTGTCCCCAACAACAAAGTTAACAATAGCACAGATTCAAAACATTTGAACCAAAATTATCATTGTTTGTGCTTTATGTTTTGGCTAATTGATGAAATTTTAAGCTACTTTTCACAAAATGTTTGTGATTGAAAATGTCATTCCTGACCGTTTGTGCCATGGTTTTCCAGTGAATACCTGGAAAGGAAAAGTATGTGACCAGGAGAGAGTAGAACCACGTGGATGGGGGGCGTAATGCCTCTCATTCCCCAGAAGTTAGGGGGACTCTGGCCCCCCGGTTTCAGGGACACACGGGCGATGGCGGAGGCCACTCGGCTGCTGCAGCCTCACTGTGTCTGCTCAGAGTCTCGGGGGGCGCGGGGGTCCTGAGACGGTCAAGCAAACCCACTCCCCCAGCCTCTCTCCAGTCTCAGTGGCCAGTGCGTCTTGCGCTTCAAACTCGTCCTGCACAGAACCGCAAAGCGATGGGTCCCAGTGGGGCCCCCGCGTTGGGGGTCCTGCCCTGCGGGAAGCTGAGCTTGCACAGTGCCTGCCCGCACGGGGCGCCCTCAGCAGGAGCTTTGGGACCAGCGAGGGTCGTGTTTCGTGTTTGCTGCTGTGCTGCGGCCCTGCGCCCACAGCCAGGCTGACCGCACAGAACCTCAGGCTTCTCGGGGACACCGCTGGGGCATGTCCGTGTGAAGGGTCGCTGTGAGGATCAGCAAAGGTGGTGGCCGTGCGGGTCCTGGCACGGCACCTCCGTGCCAGCCACTGGGCAGGCCCGGGTCGTGGTCGTGCCGCGGTGCTGCAGATGTGACGGCGGTGACGGCGGAGGGAAACCCCATACACAGCACAGCTCTTCGTTCCCAGACTTGTCTGTGCGCCTGTGACCGGCTTTTTATGGTGGTGGTAGAGCGTTCGGCTTAGCAACCTGTCGTATCCAGGGCGACTGGTGAGCAACGGAAGTGGGTGCTGTGGTGAGGGGGTCACTGAGGAGGCTTGGAGCTGTGCCGACGGCGTGCCGTGGAAGCACCCTCTGGCCCCCGGGCCCCGCGGGGTCTGCTCTCACCTGAGTGGGCGACACCCAGATCCCAGGACCCCTGCCCTGCGGGGCGTCTTCCGCTCCCAGACCCGGCCGGCAAAGCCCCGTCCGCAGAGGGCAGCTGTCCGCCACGGGTGCCTTCCAGGCTCCGCCCTTGGAGCGTCGACCTGTCTTCCTCTCCCGTCTGTGGCTCCACTGGAACGAGGGACGTGGGCCGTTCCCCTGAGACAGTCACGCCACCTTTCCAGGGGAGGCCGAGCAGAAGGAGGGCAGGGAACCGACTGCAGAGCGCGTTCCCGCGACATCCGCGTGGAAGGGTGGCAGCCCTGCTCCGCGGCTGCGTCCCAGTGAGGCCCAGGGAGCCTCAGGCGGGTGCGAGGTGTCATTTGTGTAAAGACGTGTTAGGAAAAATGGCCCCCTTGACTCCTTTTCCTTATATGTGTAGGAGGCTCATGCGCGTGTAGCCCTAGTTTGGGGTTGGTATTTCCACGGTTCCGTTAGGAAGGTTTTTCTCCATGAGTCATGGTTGCAGTCCTCAGTGTTTTTAAGCACAGTCGTCTCGGGGTGCGTGGGGTGTCGTCAGCTGTGTGCGCTCCCCTCTCATGGCAGGATACTGCTCCTCGGTGATTCCTCTTCTTTTGTGGACTTAGTTGGGTTGCGAGAAACGTTGGAAAGGTAAATTCTTCAGGTGGACAGAGACTGGCCAGGGCAGTGCACCTGGACTCGTCCGATGTGTGGAAGGCAGGCGTCTGCCGTGGGAGCCCGGGAGCCCCGCTGCGCTGCTCTCCGTCTCTGCGGCCAGGCAGCGGGGTCAGGGGCCACAGCGTGCGTCCTGATGGCAGGGCAGGAGGGGTCCCACCGTGGCCTTGAACCTCCAGTGAGGTTCACTCGGGGTCCAGTCCAGAGCGACCCTGGCAACTGCCCCCTCTGGTGTCTGCATGAGGAACACGTTGAAAATTCACTCACCCAGGCTCGGGGACGCACGTGTGCAGTTCTTTGAACAGAAGGCTGAGTGTGAAACTGCCCCTCTCACCTGGCCCGGCTGCACCAGGCGTACCTGGCACCTAAAAGACCTTAATCACAGAGACAGACAAGAGGGTAACTGTGTCATTCCGGGTACTTTACTTTGTTTTTAAACTGTGACTTCGTGCTTACTGTTACCCTTCACATTCAACCTGCTTTGTGTTGCTTTTGGGCCGCATACTCGCTAACCCTGTTCCTCACGAAGCACCCCGACATTTCCAGCGCCTGCCCACACCCCACACAGTGACCCCAGCATTATCAACTGAGTGCCCTGGGCTGCACTTGACCTCCTGGGAGATGATACTTGGATACGTGCAGGTTAAAAGAAGGTGTTTTCATGCTGGTCGGAGACCATTTCCACAAAAAGAGGATGTTCTGTGGTGTTCATCCTTGGCAGGCCACTGGGCAGGGCCTGCAGGTGTGTGGGTGTGGGGCGCACACAGAGACCCCGGCGCCGGGCCTGCAGATGCCGGGCGCTGGTCTGTCCTGACACACCACTGGCTGAGGTTGGCGTGCATCCCGACCTCTGAGCGCAGACTCCTTCCCAGCAAGGTCAGAGTGTGGCAGCCACCGGGAAGCCCCCGCACCGTGGCACTCCGCCTTTCTGCGGGCCCAGCCGTGGGCAGGGCTGGTCTCCACCTCAGCCTCATTCCCTTGTGGGCAACTTGGAAGCTCTGCTTCCACCCTGTGGGTCCCTGCCTGCGGCCCCTCCATGAGCCGGGGTGGGGATGCCACAAGGTGGAGCGTCAGCTGCCTGCAAGGGGAGACGGCGTGGACCGGCTCTCAGGCACACACTTGTGCCCGCAGCCGGGCGCCCGCCCTCAGACACTCGGTGGTGTTTGGGAAGCAGGAGCATGGCTTGGTGTCGTTTTCTGTTTTGCACTCCAGAGCCATGAAGATTGTATGTGAACTTTAGCTTTGGGTGTAGCTTCATAGCTTAGAAAACAAGATTCAAGTAGTTACTCAACCTTTTAAGTAAAAGTGGATATTTTAGAAACAGAGTAGTCAATCTTCCGGCATTTGGGGATTTTCTAGTACTCCTTTTGTTAATTACTGAATTAGTGATATAAACTAGTCTCTAGGTCAAGTGCTCTGTGCCTACACAGCATAGTCTGAATTGTTTCAGCTCCTTGACACTGAGAGCCCTGTGAGCCACCGTGCTGGTTGCCTGGGCCGTGCCCCTGCCGCTCGGGTCACCTGCGCAAGCCGCGTCGTGCGCACGTCTGTGTTCTTGCCGACTCTGGACATGCCTCTCTCTCCCCATCACAATGTCCCCTGCGATCTCCGACTTGTCGCTGTGCCTTTCCAGTCACGTGACTGTTCACGTTCTGAAGGCAGACCGCGAAGGGTGCTCACGCTGTCAGGGCACCGTGTGCGCACGCACCAGTGGTGAGGGGGCGGGCTGCCCTGGAATCAGGGAGCATCCTGTTCCCACGCGCGTCCCCTGCGCCCCGTCGCCGCCCTTCTCTCTCGCTGCTGTGGCAGCCTCTTTCACAGAGCAGTGTTTTACTGTGGTTGACCGACACTCAACCTGGTTCTCGATAGACTCACTGCAGTCAAAAACCAAAACCACTTCCGTGCCCACCAGGCGGGACGCGTGAAGGCCCAACGTGGTCCTCCTGCAGCGGTGAGACGGTGACTGTGAGCACTGCGCCCGCCCACACAGACGGTGTGTCCCAGGCCGCACTGGGGCTGAAGGGAAAGCAACATGGTGGCCATCCTGGCAGCCGTCCCTGCGTGAGGCGGGCCGTCCTGACGCTTTCCGCTCCTGGCCCAGGACGAGCTCCTCTGCGGGCTGTGCACTTTTCTGTATATACTTTTTTTAAAAAAACCAGTTTCTGTTACACTCCCCTCCACCCCCGATTTCTAAAGAGGCCCATTGAGGTCCCCTGTAGCTCTGGTAGAGTAATACGCGTCCATCTCGTGAATCCCCACAAACAGACATCAAATGAAAAGTGGCCAGAAGTCTTTGTCCTTGTACACTGGCTTTTTGTCTAGTTTTGTGAAATCCGTTTCTCATCGAAAGTGGTCTTTACCGTTTTAGTGATGCATTTCCACCATCTCGGTTAACCAGGAATAAGCTCAGTGCTCACTTGAGGAAGAATCACATGCACTTTTGTGTTTGCAACACAAGTGACCTTCAGCTGGCCCCACGTGGTTCTGTCCCAGACGCCGTACACCGGCGCTGAAGGCAGGGTGGGCGGAGGCGGAGAAGGTCAAGGGGAGGCCCCTGGGAGCGTGCCCAGGCCCTGCGTGGCTCACCGAAGGGAGTTCTTCCCCAGAATTCCTAGCGACAGACCCCGAGCTGAGCCTCTGCGGCTCAGAGACTCGTGCCTGTGGAAGTCTGCTCCCTGCTTGGGGGCCGCGTCCGCTCTCTGAAAGTGGGACCCTGGGCAGGAGGGCCGGGAGGTGGCCGAGGGGTCTCGGGGCTTCCTCGGAGCAGCTGGGGCTTCCAGAGCAGTGGAGGTTGACGCCTTTTCTAAAGTGATGAGCCAGTGTTCTTTCTCTTCAGGGCACTTGGGCACTAAGTGATGGCATGGTATTATCCCAAGTTTCTTTCATTTTTCTGCTGTCATAGTTTTTCTAATCACTTAACATTTTCATCAGTTCTTACATGATAAGACTTAATCATTTTAAAATATACATCAGATTGTGACCTGAACAGTATGATAGCAGATGAAGCTGGCATACTCTCTTCACAGATTGGGGTTTTCACATTCTCTAGGATGATCAACTGTTTAATTGTTTATGACATATTATTTAATGGCATCTTATTTAA